GTCAAACTGCCAGTTGCAGATAGATAGGACCTAAACCAGCCTAAAGCAGTTCCCTGTATGCCAACTAAGTGCTCTAGTCTTTGCAATAGGATATCATGGTCGATAGTATCAAATGCAGCACTAAGATCGAGCAAGACAAGAATAGAGACAAGTCCCTTGTCTGAGGCTATTAGAATGTCATTTGTGACTTTAACCAGAGCTGTCTCTGTGCTATGTTGTGTTCTAAAGCCAGACTGAAAATCTTCAAATAAATCATAGTTTTTTAAGTAATCACACAGCTGTTTTGCAACTGCTTTCTCAAGAATTTTTGAGAGGAACGGAAGATTAGAAATAGGTCTATAGTTGGCTAAAACCTCTGGATCGAGGTTATGCTTTTTAAGAAGCGGTTTTATCACTGCTACTTTGAATGATTGTGGAACATAGCCTGATAATAAAGACATATTCATAATATTTAATAAAGAAGTGCTAATTAATGGAAAAACTTCTTTTAACAGCTTAGTTGGAATCGGGTCTAAGATACACGTTGATGGTTTAGAAGAGAGAATCATTGAATTACACTACATTGACCTGATAACTGTAGTTGCTTTTCAAGATTAAGCATTGACATCGATTTAAATACATTTTCTGTTTCTAAATAGTGACAGAAAAATGTACTCAATCAATCCATGAAGACCTTTGTTTTGAATGAGAAATCATATTTTGTACATTTATTTGTAACTATACTTGTCAAATGAATGAAGTGACAAAGAATACAACAAAGTAGTAGTTTATAGTAGAAATACTCAACACTGCAATGCAATACATTGTCTGAAACTGCTTATACATTTATTCTCTTTAATCAATAATCGGTGTGGTTTAATGTAATGAACCTTCTCATATTATTAGAGACTTTTGCTTGTGTTACTCAAATAACCTGAAGAACAAGTATTCACAGAAATGGTTTTATGCTGGTTTCTTTTTAAATGTTTGCATCATGCAAATAAGTTTTCACAGAAATGGTTTTATGCTGGGTTCTTTTTAAATGTTTGCATCATGCAAATAAGATTTCTGGGAAATATTTACGATGTGATATCTTGAATGTTGCAGCCTAAAGTATGCTCTTTAAAGGAATCATAAACATAAAAAGGTGTAAATACAATAATTGCATGATAATTCACTCTTTGTACAGAGTCAATGAGCCTAAAGGTCCTTACACACCGAGCTGATTTTCGGCGTCGATAGATGTCGATAGATGTTGGGCCGTCGATGAGTGTCGTGTCGCCCTACTCAGATTGGTGTGTACTGCACCGTTGTGTCTTTTCGGCCGTGCCGACACCTTCTGCCGCCGATTCGACATGTTGAATCGGGGGGCCGTCGGCGTAGGTTGGGGAAAGCCCCATGAGCTTCTCGCTGTAGAGTGAAAATGGAACGGACACGCTATTTGTTGTTTGTTTGTATCACGCAGTCTGTTCTTCTTCTCTCGGTGTATCACGCAGTCTGTCTTCTGGTTGTTGCCTCTTTTGAATGACGAATACACACTACCGCCGCCTGCTGGTAAGGGGAGTTATTGCCACTCACGCATGCACAGTTCGTACATGCTTCTTGGCCGTCGGCTGAAGTCTTTGCGGTGTGTTCCAGTGCGACACATGGCCAAGACGCAGAGACATGAAGCGACGCGTCCAGATATTCCGTCGGGACGTGTTCTTTGGTGTTCTTTGGTGTCAGTTTGGTGTGTAAGAGGCTTAAGCCGTTGACCAGTCACAACAGAGCCACCCAGCCATCCAATCAGAGCTGACTGGGCTATCATTTCAGATAGAGGGTTAATAGGTGTTGCAGCACAGGCAGTATGTAAACATAAAGCACTATTTGAACATTAAAGCATGAACATTAACGGCTAAAACTACCATCTTGATTTGTAGTTTTACATTATCATAGCCCCAGATGCATTAGAGGGACTTATTGCAGAAGTCTGTCTGTATTTAGATTGTTCCTTATTAACATATCACAGTAGAAACACAGAATACAAATATAAACCTGAAAATAAGCATAATATGTCCCGTTTAAGTTTTGGAACAGGAATCCTCAAATGTAACGTTTTTTTGTTCATATATTGTGCTCGATATGTTATGGTTCTATTATTTAACTATTCATATGAAAAGTCAAATAGTGATGTAAACGGGTTTCGCAAAAATAGAGCACAGGAATAAAGGTTTCTTGAGCTATTGGAAAAAGATATAACAGAACTTGATGACACTGAAACACAGTAAAATAGCTCCATATCGGCTCATCCATACACAAACTGAATGGAACATGTTTACACTATTTTTGGTAGCAATCAGGTGCAGATTTCTCTTCTAGTTATTCAGTGTTGATTGAATGGGTTGGGTTTTGTTAAGTGTGTAGTTTAGCACTTATTTAGCAGATATATTAGAATTTTTATTTTCTAAGACTGTACTTGTTTTGTTGTTAGCAGTGCCAGAGTGTTAATTTCGATGATTTCCACACATTCTTTGCTATGAAAATATAATTTCAGTCGACATTCAGAAAAATGGGCAAGAATTTCTCGATCAAAGTTTGTACATACTTTTGAAACAGTGTATTTGCTGGTTGTGTATTTTTTGGCATTTCAAGAATTTGTCCACATTATTGTAATGTAACTTGGACAATGCAACTCCAAAATGAAAAGATGGTTTATTTTTCTAACAGTGACTAACCTTGGGCGTCCCAGGTTATATATGAAGTCCGTTGTGACCATCTGGAACGTACAGCATTAAATGAGGAAGAATTAAATTACTGAATGTCTGAGGATTTCATTAGAATAATAACCTGAGTTTGCACATTAAGTTCAAAGGTCTCATTATTTGTCTGCCTTATATGCCCTTTCTGATATGGAGCAAACCTCTCGATGATACTTACATCGATCTGGAATCTACTCCGCCTCTTCCTTTTCCCCCTGAGGCTTTTATTGGTTGCTCTGATCCCTCTAATACCTGAGCAAACCCTTAACGGCTAATTTATATGCTGCCCTGTTCTCCAGAGCTCCATCACAAGTCTGCAAGGCCAAATGTCAGCATTGGAGCCATTGGTCGCCTGGAAGACAATGAAAAGTCACTTACATTTACATATGAGACCAAACCACTTCTCCATTTGATGAGACTTGGTGAACTTTTCATGTAACATCTATCACTGCCCCAAGAAAGTAGCATTTAAGTGCCCTTACAAGCCCAATCAGTGTATGTATCCATGTCTGCCGTTTTTGAAAACAATTCACTTTGATTGAGCCCATCTGTTCCGACCAGGTTTGGTTGTTTCTGGTAATGTATCACTGGGTTAACTAGACCTTGCAGAACCAGGTGGTGAACTCAACGGGGAAGGAGAGTAGCCTGGAGTGGAAAGCCAAATATGTTTTTTGTATCAATTTCTAAATAACTAATCACGCAAGATTGGAGTAAAAAAATGTGCCATTGCTTT